ATGCATAGGAGAGATGTGCCACGATGGTTATCACATAACTGGTTATCTGGTAGATTTCTGTTGTATGATCATTCTATGCTTTCGCATTTTCTTTTCAGGGGTCGCTTAAGACCATCGAAAAGGCCTACGTGTACTGTAGGAGTGTAGTTGATGATACTACAAGACTACCTTTTTCATTACGCGTTATGCAATTGTGTTTTTGCTTAATGTGGAGTGGTCAGACGAGGCATGGCTAGTCAAGCATGTTCTTTACACTAAAATAGTTACACACCCTCTCTGACCAGAAAGTAAATAGACGGTATGTCCAACTGATTTTAACAACCAATAGAAGAGTAGACAATAACAATCCATTTTTTCGATGGTCTTAAGCGACCCCTGGCCTACACGTGTAGGCCTACATATTGTACTGAGTGTGCAGTCCATAATGACAAGACCACCCTGTTTTTTTTCCCTTTGCGCGTTTAACGGTTATGCAATTTTTAGTGATCAGACAAAAAATAGCACATTGACATGGTTAGTCAAGCATGTTTTTTACACTATGAAATAGTTATACGGTCAAATGTTTCTTAAAACTCCGACAATTTAGTTTCTATTTCATTGGTTACTCAATCTAATTTTTAAGCTTTAATTGTATGTTATTTAATGAGATTTTAAACTTTACTGGTATAAGTAGGCTAATTAAAATTTTCCGTTATATAATAAGTTAATATAAGTTAAAAAAAGAGTACCATTCTTCTCTAAAGGTTTTAATTGAAGGCAAAATACAAGAACACATATTTATTTAGACATCCTTTTAAAGAATTTTATTGTGCATTAACGTTTATGTGAGAAACATATTCCTTAATACTGATTTTATTACGGATAAATATTTCTAGTTCAACCCCCCCCCCCAAAGTTTGTTATAGTTTAATTATTTTTTTTTTAGTTTAGTTTAACTATATTTTGAAATTCATGATAAACTAATAGTTTAACTTCTTTATTTTAGTTGATAAATAGTTTTAGTTTTAACTTTTAAAAGTTAGTTTAGTTCCCATCTTTATATACTTACCAGTTGAGAGGTTGGATATTGCAGTCATTACTTCATTGAGTCGGGGAGGGTCAGCGAGTGAGTGATTTATTGGGACTTGTTCCAGGCGTGCGATGGCTTCGGCGCTATTGCTTGATGGACTGTTAAGGATGGTACTGAAGTGTTCAGCCCAGCGAACAAGTATATCCTCCTTGTCTGTGAGAAGTTTGTTTCCTTCAGCACTGAATATGGGGGATGAGCCATTTTGCTGAGGACCATAAAAAGCTTTGATTGAATTGCTTTACTGTAAACATGGGACTGGATTTCTTCTGCTTTTTGTTAAACAGGTTAGCCAGAGCTAGTATCTGGTGAAACTATGGTCTCTGTCCACCACCAGCATGTGAAGTCTAGTTGCGGCTGCATGGCGCTCTAGTCCAATTGGACTACCAGGGCCATCAGGCGACACCTAGCAAACGCCGTGGGACGTTTTGGGACATGTAGAGCACACTGGTCATCCACTGCACCCCAAACTAGCTCCAGTTGTCTGTGTAAATGTAGACCTACATATGCTATAATACCAATATGTTACAGTTACTCTAATCAAATTGGAATATTCATTTGTTTTAAATCCCACTGCTCTTTTTTGTATTTGTTCTAGTTTCTTTGAGTTCAGGGAACCCAAATAGATCTAATATTCTGACATTTTTACTTCATACTGCATTCCTCACTAACATTCGGACTCGAAAACAAGCCTTATTATTATTTCTTGTTACTGTAATAATTTCGTTGTATTTTATCCAAGATATGGACGGCATGGGCATATTACTACTCAAATGTGGATTTAGAGGTTTAGAACTAGATTACCAGAGCAGCAGGTCCAGAGCTATAGATTTTTTGTCTCGTGACTTGTAAAAAAAAAGTCGGCCTTCGAGTCCCCTCTGTCAGCATGTCACAACCCCCTTCAAAATATAGATCTATAGAATGTAGTAGATGAAGAAGCCTTTTAGAAGTAAGCCACAAACCTAGATCTATATTTCTATAATCTATTTCTACTACTTTCTAGACTTTAAAAATTACTACAATCTAGATCTAGACTCTAGATCTTTATAGTTGTAGTTCTATGATCTAGATTCTAGATATACTTGGAAAAGAAAATGCGAAAGCATAGAATGATCATAAAAAGGGATTTTGGACCAATCAGAAATAAGGAAGTTTAATGACGTATTCAAGGCGTTATGCAGCAGTGTCACCTGGTTTGCAGTCTACGTTGAACAAATTGCAGATTTAGTTAGATGTAGGTAATCACAGATTTAAAAAAATGTTTCCAAATCGATTCATTACGTAATTAACTTTGTTACCAATAGCATAGCTAAGTTATTAAATAGATCTAGACTCCTCCAGATCTATATCAAGATTAATAAATGTCACGTATAAGTATAGTGTAGAAAAAAATGGCTACCGTGGCTTTATATCACGTCACATCCCGCACCACCGACTTGGTCTTGTGTCTTAGCCTTTTTTCTTTTAATTTTGGAGTTTTTTGGGCATGCAAAAACAACATAGAAATGTTGTACTAAATTGTTTATCTTGGTATGGTTAAAATTAAATAGATCTACTTCGTACCTGAAAAGAATAAAGACTTTTTCAACTTTTTGGCCTTGTAATCTGTAATGTATAATCATAGATCTAGTACTATTACTTACTGCTATTAATCTATTATTCTATACTTTAAATATAACTTATACTGTAACTTTTATAACTATAAATATAACCAATCACTAATGATGACTGACTGTAATAACTAATTTAGTCTAATACAATAATACTCTTAACTGCTAACTCAAATGTAAATGTTCTATAACTTAGTATAACATATAAATAGGGGAGGCCCATAAGTTTTACTTTTCCTCAATAAGAAAATGTATTGTCATATTAACATTTAATTATTTTAATTTTAACTTATTTGATCAAAGGGCGCTATGGCTGACTGGGATTAGGTGCTTGGCTTCCAAACCTTGGGTCCTGGGTTTGAACCTCTTTGAATTTTGGGATTTTTAGGGCGCCCCTGAGTCTATCCAACTCTAATGGGTAGCTGACTAGTTTGGGAAAGTAAAGGCTGTTGTGCTGGCCATGACACCCTGCTTGTTAACCATTGGCAAAGAAATGGATGACCTTATAGATAGTTGCACCAAAAATTTTAAATTAATCCTATACCAACAAATGTGTAATAGAATGAAAGAGGATGAAAAATGCTTTCCAACAACACCAAATTTATTATGCTAGCATTATTAGTTCAAAAGTTATTGTGAATTTAAGTTTGTCCGAGGCGTCCTGACATCCTATGGACTTTATATAGAGAAATAAAAAAAAAAAGTGAAGCAAATTATTTTTAATGTGAATATTTAAAAAACTATTGTGAATACATATACAAAAGTATATATCAAATTGTACAGTTTTAAAGGAGGAATTTTAATTTATAAGTGACAAATCAAAATGAAATTAAAGATTTAAAATATCATTAGTAAATTATGAAAAAATACAATTTTTTCTAATTTTCTTAAAATAGTCTATAAAAAGAAAAATGTTCCTGGTTGTCAAGTTTTCAACACAATAAGCTTGTAAATTGATCTAGATCTATCTAGTTATAAAACAATAGTGTAGATTAGAAAAAGAATCTTTAGATTTAAGATTTAATTATATTTATTTGAAAGAATATTTTAGATACCTAGATTTACAGATTTTAGCTTCGACATCGACTGACCGAAAGAACTCCCAAGAATACAGATCTTTATTATATTTTGTGTTAATAAGCAATATAGGTATAAGTATAAAGAAGTGATTCATTCAATTTTACATGTTTTAGTGTACACTGATATTATTTTTCTTATGTAAAAAACAGATATTAATGATAAAAGGTCATCCCGACCTTATTGAAATTCTAGTACCTGAAAAAAGTGTGGTATCATTGGAAAGCTGAATGAATTTTCTAAGTGTATGGTTTAAAACTAAAGATGTACGGAGACCCTTTATTTTTTTCCCTTGTTATTTGAAATTTTTCAGATTAAAGTATTCTGGACATATGGAGAAAAATATTTTTTTTTTCCACTAGCAGTTAGAGGAACCTCTTATCTTAAAATGTCATAAAAACACTGTTATAAAGCAATGTCTTTTCTTAGAACATGCTTAATTTCAGTTTTGTAAAACCTGAACAGGAAATTGTTTTGTCAAATGTGTTTTTAGATCCAATATGGCCGCCTGTGAGAGTACCTACCTTAACATCATCTGCCTTATAGATCGCAAGGTCTGAAAGGGGAACTTTACTATACTTTTTTTATGTGATCAAAGTGCATACATGAACTCTTAAACTATATTTTTGTAATTTCAGATAATGGGTCGGTCTTCAAGTAGATCCAAAAGTAGAAGTCGAAGCGGCAGTGGTGGAAGCAGAAGCCGCAGTGGGTCAGCAGATAAAAAACGCAGAAGCTACAGTAGAAGTCCAGCATCAGATGATGAAAATAAATGTAGAGTACACATTGCTGACTTAGGTCTAGATCCTTCAAAGTCAGAGATTTACAGAGCATTTGAAAAGTTTGGACCTTTAAGGGAAATTTGGGTGGCAAGAATTCCACCATGTTTTGCATTTGTGGTTTACAAATATAAAGATGATGCCTGTGAAGCTGTTCGAAAAATGGATGGGGAGTAAGTTACTAAATTTAAGCTAAGTACTTGAAAAATGGTTGGGAAGTAATTTATTAAATTTCTATTAGAAAAATGAAGAAACAGTTTAAAAAACACACTTTTGTCAATGCTAAATTATATTGAGCGATGGCTTATTGACTTTTATTGTAGATCTTTGAATGGAAAGAGAATAAGAGTCTCAATAGCAAAGCCAAGAATGAAAGGTTCCAGAGGAATGCCACCAGGAGGTGGTCGAAACAGACGATGTTATGAGTGTCTTGAATTCGGTCATCTTGCGAGGGACTGTGTAAAAAGCTCCAACAACCGTCGAAGAAATAGGTAGGTTGTTTAAATAGGAAATTTATTATGGCATACAATTTTAATAATAAGGTAATAATACCTATGTAAAATTTTACTCATATTTAATATGTAGGTGTTTTTGTATACAAGTTGTTTCTTAATAATGTTATTTATCAGAAAATATTTGTCAGATTAGTATTGTTCTATATCATAATATGTTAGCATATGTCAGCTTGATTGAACATTTTAAATTAAACCATATAGGGGTAATGTACTCATTATTTAAAATTCTGCCTTTAAAAAAAATCCCCTATTGGAATCATTTAAATAATGTTAAAACATTCCATAATTTACTCATGTTGTAGCCTTAGATTGTATTAATATAGTCTTAAAATTGCCACCCACCAGGTGGATAGTTAATTGTTTACTTATGGATAACACCAAACTTAAGTTTAGATAAATATCTTTTCCTGGTTGCTCTTATTTTTGTGCAGGCTGTGTTTGCAGGAATTGGGTGGTCTTGATATTTTCTTCACTGTGTGAGGGTTGAATTGATGATGATGATGGTCATAGTGTATTAAGTCCAGTGTCATGGTTATGGGGTTGATCACAAGACGTTTGGTTGACCAGGTCATGGAGCCTAGTGAGAGGCTGACCACTGTGAATAGTGATTGGCAAATGTGATTTTGATTTGATCTTCTATGGTGGAAGAGTTGGCCACATGGCCTATGTGTGTTTTAGCGCTGTGTGCGCTGATGAAGGCGCTGCTGTGTGTGTGTGTGTTGTAGTTCACCTTTTTGAAGAGGAACTCAGGGTATAATTTGTAAGGTTATATTTGTATATTTATACATTGAACATTTTTTTGAATTAATTTGTTTTTTCTTTTTTACTTGTAATTTTTAAGAAATTAATTTAAGCAGGAAATCTTTGACATTTTTTTTCTTCAAAACATTCATAGGCGATTTGTTTAACAGTGCCTGATATTGTTTTTGTTACTGTAGTGCAAGATCACTAACTTAGAAATATCAATTTCTTCTTTTAGGTCTAGGTCGCGATCTCGGGATAGATATGAACGCCGCAGATCTAGATCAAGATCTGGCAGTCAAAGTAGGTACAGAAGAAACAGAAGCCGAAGCCGCCAGCGAGATAGAAGTGGAAGTCGTGACAGAAGGTCATACAACAGAAGAAGTACAAGTAGGGGGAGAGAAAGCAGATCAGCCAGAGATAGGAGCCGGGATCGTAAAGAAAGAAGTAATAGTAGAGATCGGGACTCTAAACTAGATCGAAGTGGTGATAGTGACAAAATTGGGGATAGGAAGCGTGATGAAAAGAGTAAACGAGAGAGTAAAGAGAAGAAAGTTGAGGAGGAGGAGGAGAAGAGGAGCAGAGAAAGTGTTGAGAGGCCCGGGGATGTAGAAAAAAGGCAAAGTGCAAGTCCTGAACTCAAACACAGTGGAGGTGAAGAAAGTAATCATGAGCTAGAATCAAGGGGGAGGAAAAGAAGTATTAGTGATGGAGATCGAAGTCGGTCAGCAAGCCCGTCAGCTAAACGGAACAGTCAGGAGGAGGAATATGACAGGTAAATAATTGAGGGAATCCTGTTACCATGTTTTTATTCCCAGGGTCATGTAAAAATTCATCCTTAAAAATGGTTTTAGAGCAATATAGATTTTGTATATACCGGTACGAGTAATGTTTGTAATATCAATCCACTTAGTGAAAAAAAATTCTAGATCTATTTACAGAAAGATATGCAATATTTATTTATTTATTTTTCAAAAAAAAAAGGAAAGTTCCCTATTATATACTGATTCAATCTTGTCATTCATTTCACATTGGGAGTGGCAATAGTTTAGAATTGCTTTAATCTATCCCCTGAAATGTATACTTCCAAAGCTTTGAATATATCTAAGGTGAACTTTGTGTGTTGTTTGTATGAGTGTATCACATTCTAAGGGTATTAATAATTTTATTTGAATATAATTGCGATACAGTGTGTATATTTTTTTTTTAAGGTAGAACTTTAGCATTGAATTTTTTTCCAAATATGCTGAAAAAAAATGTCATGACTTTATTGCTTTTATTTAAAGTCCCTTTCTATGTCATAGGTAATACAGAAACTAATCAAATTTTGTAAAAATTTTAGTATATTACTTTTTTGTACCATTAACTATTGTCCCATTTATTGCTGAGACATTTTTTGGGGGAAAAAAAAACACTACATTCTACTCATTGACATTTTTAACCCTTAAAGTGCTGAGCTTTTTTACAATGAGTGCATACAAAATGGATTTGCAATGCTAGAGTTTAGAGGCTAAATTACCAGACGCATCTAAAGGGTTAAAGGGAAATACACTTTCATAATATAAAGCTGGCCAAAAGGTTATGACAGAACCAGCTTTAAGTGGTAATCTATGTTCTAATGAATTGAGTTTGTTTTGTATTCACAGAGCAAGCAGCCCAAGAGATGCAGAAGATTCTAATATGGACAATGACAAAGAAGACAATTAAAACAATTTGTTGTATACTTGATGTTGGTGTGCTGATGATGATGAAACCAACAGCTCAGAAACTGGTTCTGATGCACAAAGAATAATCAGATGCATTTTTCTGTAGACAGTTGTAAGAAAAAGGAATATTCTATGGTACTATCATCATTTTTTATTGCTCATTGTTCACTATTTTTTTTTTTCTTTACCATGATTTCAACATTTGTTGGCATCATTTTATGGTGTGATTATGAGAAGAACATTAAACACACAAAAATTGTGCTCTAATACCAACAGTACAATCATTACTGTAGTCTATGTTGTAGTAGGCCTACATGCACTGGAATTACTACTGTCATATGTTGTAAACATTTTAATTGGAAAGCACATTTTTCTTTGGTCACTTTGAAGAAATGTAAAATAAATAATTATTGTTGATTCTTTGTTTTATTCTTTTTTTTTGGTTATTGTCTGTTGTGTGGTGTTAGCTATTGCAATTCTAGATGACTTGTTTGTGTGCAGCAGTTGGGTTGTATTGCTAATTAGAAAAATTTGAATAATATTTGGGTCTAAAACACATTTTGAAAGGTTTTGGAAATGCTTGGAATGGAAATAAGAAATTATATGGTTCCCATAACATACAAGACTTGCATGAAGTTTAAACTAGTATTTAAATATACAAACCCTGTAAGGATCATATTAATGTGCATGGATATCTGCTTTATATTGTGTCAATGTTAAGAAAAATGAAATAAATCATCATGAGGGTTAGGAATCTATTTATTCTATGCACCAGATAATAAATATTTCATCATTTCAAAATGCCCCACGTGTTCATTTTTATTTCAAATCATCTTGGGGGTAACACTGTCAAAACCTTTACAACAAAATTCATCAACTCTTCAGTAGAAAGCTAAAATAAAATTGACTAAACAATAATTAAACGTTTATATACAGCAACCATCAGCAGTCTAACTTTGCCATCACCTGCTTGCACAAAGACAGACTGATGGAAAAAAGCATCATACATCACTTGAACACAGCTACCATCTCTTGAACACAGCTACCATCTCTTGAACACAGCTATCATCTCTTGAAGAACTTTTTCAAGACATACGCCTTTACTAGGCTTAGTCCGAGAGGTGGGGTTGTCTACGAAGATTTGATTTGGGAAATACTGAATATATAATAATATTTACTAAAGATTTTTACTAGATTATTACATTTTTACTATTTTAACTGTGAATAGACCTTGCTTTTAATGATTTAACTATGGAATTTAGCTCTGGTGATATGAAGGGAGAGTAATCCCTGAAGGATTATGGGCAGGACATGGCCTAAATTGTGCCAAAAACTCAAAACTCCATAATTCTTAAAGACAACTTGCACCCATTAAACCACTTTAACAGAACTGAACGAAGTGGTCGTCGGTCGTCTCATTTCCATTAGGACTAAAACAGAAATTTAAAAACTTTATCCCACTTTTGGTCAGTGTTGCAAGATCATCTGTGGTCTTAGATAAGTAAGTATATATAAGTCTAAGTACACAAAAGTTTCATAAAAGTGCTGGTTGTGAGTGTGTATGTGTTGTTTGTATTAGCATTTCTATATTGTTATCATTACAGTAGTTACGCTGAGGTGGTCAATTGTAGTCAAACTGAATTTCCATTGGATTGGACCTATAAAATTCTTATTAATTTAACTTTAATAGTACAGAACACTAAAAATGAAATAAATATAATGCAAAATTCAAATGAACAGACTTATTTATTTCAACTTTTAAAAAATTACATAAGTAAATTTTTTTTTTTTTAAAGTTACACAAATCTTTGAACCTAAAGAATAGTCTAAGCTAAACAGAACCACATTTCTTTTGCTGATAAAAAAAAACTTGTGCATTTAGACTAGACAAATTAAGTGGTACACAAACAAAAAATGTGTATTAAACACAAGGCACAAATAGAATACTTCACATTTAATTTGATCAATTAAAGTCATCGTAAATACAAATCAACAGGTCACATAAAGTAATGGCACAGAAACTATTCTTGAATTGACATTAAACACAAACTTGAGTTACTTTCTCCTCAAAAGGTCATCAAATGAGATTTTTTATCAACATTTTAATTCTGATTGTTATCTTTACGTAGAAGAACTCTTACAAGCGTTCAATTTACAAAGTTTTTATTCACAAATTATGAAGTATTAAATCATTCTCCAAGAAGAACATCTGTAAACTTGTCAACAATACAAAGAAAACTATTCAACAACATTCTGTAAGCCTTTCAACAGCACACATCAAACCATTCAACAACATTCTGTAAGACTTTCAACATCACACATCAAACTATTCAACAACATTCTGTAAGACTTTCAACATCACACATCAAACCATTCAACAACATTCTGTAAGACTTTCAACATCACACAGCAAACCATTCAGCAAGATTTAAAAACCATTCAACACTACTCTCCCTAACAACTAAAATGCCCATTATGCTAGTACACAGATTCAGATCGACACACAAAACACTTGCAGTCCCTGAGATTAGAAACTATCATGACTTTGATTGAGGTGACAATGAATAAAGATTCCTTTTGTAAGGTGAGGTTCTAGTGTCTTGTTGATTGTAAGATACAGACCACAGCTTAGGAGATGTAGGGGATGGTCGGCCAGTATAAGATGGAGAGCCTGAAAATGTCAAAAGAATTTTGAATGCAGACGTTAAAAATTAATATATTTTCTTGCCTGAAATTTTGTCTAAAATGTATCTAGAAACTTTTGACTTAGGGACAACTATAATGTAAAGAATAAAAAAATATTTCCTTTGAGACCTAGAAGTTCACCAGAGTTTATATTTCAGTAGTTAAAGGCCTTTGTGATTCATTACTTTACAAAAATACAAAATCTTTCAAGGAAAAGTGGAAGAAGAAAAAGAAAAAAAAAAGTCATTAAAGGATTCAAATAATTCTCTCTTAAAGATTCTCTTCACAGTTCATGACCAAGACAAAGAAGAGTTGCGATGGTGATGCCCCAGTTCCCATTTATAATGCTGTCTATAAAGTGATGCAGCTTATTTTCTTGAGTATAGAGAGAGAAACAATGAGAGATAACAGAGCTATCCATAAAGTTGTACTTATTGGTGTAGACTGTTGTATGAAGGAAGTAGAGAGATGACAGAGCTATCCATAAATTGTACTTATTGGTATAAAGTTGTACTTATTTATTGGTATAAAGTTGTACTTATTTATTGGTATAAGGTTGTACTTATTTTTTATTAGTATAAAGTTGTACTTACTTATTGGTAAAAAGTTGTACTTATGTATCGGTGTAAAGCTGTACTTACTTATTGGTGTCGACTGTTGTATGAAGGAAGCCGACTGTGAAGGACTCAATGAACCTTGGTTGAGGAAGACATTGGGGTTAGATGAAGCCTTGTAACGTGGACCCAAGATAGCATGATAACCTGCAAGTAATTTTTGTCAAGTCTTCTATAGTTATATACATATGAAGAGAAAAACATAAGCAATGAATACAAACAACATAATAAGAGGAAGTTTGAAGTTTAAAGTC